TCCAGGGTCATAACTCAAAATCTGTTTAATGAAAAGACTTAACAAAGATCTTATCAATATAAATGATCAAAACAAATTTGATTCAAATCAGATGATAACTGTAGTCTTTATTCACAAACAAAGTTTGACACTTTTTTTATTAAAACAAGGGCAGTAACTTTAAAACCATTCATCTAAAAATCGTCAAATTCAAACTTGACCAAGATCTCATCAATATATATAATCACACCCAATTTCATTAAAATAAGATAAAAACTTGAAATTCAACTTATTTTAGTTCGAGGTAGTGGTGACCTAGTGGTGACCTAGTTCGTGTATTTTTTTTTATTTATTTTGCATACTGTCACTATAAAAATATTGAAGTGGATGAGTCTATTAACAGGTAAATTATTATTATTAATTAAAATATTACAATATAGGTAAGATATATTGATATTACTAACCTGGAGTATTTGGTCTTCCACTAGATCCAGGTGATATATGTCCAGATTCAGACCATGGACTCTGAGAACGATTCAGTGTATCATTAAAGGCTTTATCAGCTTCTTGTTGTTTCACAGCTTGTTGAGCTGCTAACACTTTAGCTCTTTCCTCATATTTTTCTTTATCTTCTCTTGGAAGAGCTCTCCACTATCAAATACAAGTTTTAAATGAAATGTAATAAGTAACAAATGTTCTAATACACCCACTGACAACTTTGATTTTAAATACAAATATTTAACAGTACAGTAACAATTACTAGTATGAAATATTCAATAGATTTTACCCTTGGGTGATTACGAACACTCAAAATCCTTCTAGAATTGTGTCTTCTAGAGTGTTTACAAGCAATTGTGGACGGACAGACATGAGTGATGACAATATAGGTCCCCCCATTTCATGTGAGTGTATATAAAAAGCGTAGATAAATAATAATAATAATAATAATAATGTATACAATTAAATTGTTTTTATATTACTGTCTTATGATTATAAAGGTACTGTAGAATCTTATCAAGGTCACTAGAATATATATTATAACATGTCCTACTCTGACACTCTTGATAATCTGACATTGTTTTACAATCCCAGTGTATGTAGGATTACACAGAGTATCCCAGTGTATGTAGGATTACACAGAGTATCCCAGTGTATGTAGGATTACACAGAGTATCCCAGTGTATGTAGAATTACACAGAGTATCCCAGTGTATGTAGGATTACACAGAGTATCCCAGTGTATGTAGGATTACACAGAGTATCCCAGTGTATGTAGGATTACACAGAGTATCCCAGTGTATGTAGGATTACACAGAGTATCCCAGTGTATGTAGGATTACACAGAGTATCCCAGTGTATGTAGGATTACACAGAGTATCCCAGTGTATGTAGGATTACACAGAGTATCCCAGTGTATGTAGGATTACACAGAGTATCCCAGTGTATGTAGGATTACACAGAGTATCCCAGTGTATGTAGGATTACACAGAGTATATGGTAAATTCAATCAGTAATGCTGCAGGTTGCTTTACGGGTTAAGCCAAATAGATAGCAACGGGTAGTTGGAGGTTTAGAATTTATAAATAATACTTACTCTTGTACCAACAAGCCGACTTATTTCACCGAATGTTGCTTCAGGATTTTCATGTGTGATCTGTTTTCTCATTTCACCAGCATACACTATGTAACCACTTGGTTGTCTTTTCACTGATTGTCTCTATTAAAAAAAATACTCAATATCACATTGTTCAAAATCACAATTACAATACAAGTTGAAATACAGATTGATTGGACTAAATTGACTTTACAAGAAACCTTGAGTTAATTTTTTATACTGATGCTAGGTATTACTGATCATGTGTATCATGATGTAAAGGATTAGATTGGGTTATATAAATATATTTTGCGATATAGGCTTATACACAAAATATAACACGTTTTCTTCAAACTTGTCAGATAACATGATATTAATAAAACTAGTAATTTAACTATTTCCATGTTAACATTCACTAATTGAAACTTTCGTGTTTTTGAGTACTATTAAGTTATATGTGTATCATGCCTGTTATTCACCAAAATATCCTGCCAGCAGAATTGAACTCAAGAGTTGACAGCTGAAACAAGCTTGGCATATCTTTCATTTTCTACAATAGACTGTGGATTTATGTACTTTAAGAAAATACCTTTTTTGGTTTTTCAGATGGTGTTTGTGAATTTTCATCTAAGGACAGAGCAAGATCACTTTTACCATCTTGAGAGTCATCAGCATCACCCAATAAATCTTCTGATGCTTTGATTAATAATGGAGATGGTTCCTACAATGACAAATTCACAAAATTGATTGTTTAAGCTTTCAGACACAATTTCAGAATTTTTGCCTATTTCAAGTTGGATTTTGGCCTTGAATATCATATATAGATTTCAGAAGTACTAGAAGTGTATTCAATTATGAAAAATAAATGTTATTTCATATTAATAATAGAAACTGGTCATCATTGTTTAGTATTATAAGAAGGATAAGATTTGATTATCAAGTACCTAAATATTCACAACATGGTTAGAAGTCTCAAAAAAATTTCAGTTGTGTGTAATCATGGATATACACTGTCTCAAATTTTGAGGGTGAGCTATGAACACTATTTAGGTCATCTAAACAATTGATCAGTATGTGCTTAAAGCTAGTGGATCCC